CGAACCCCTCCCCCCCCCCTTCAGAAAACCGGGGGGGGTCACTACCGGTTCGAACCCCTCCCCCCCCCCCAGTTCATCATGAAAAGGGGGGGGGGTCACTACCGGTTCGAACCTCCCCCCCTCCCCCTCGAAAACCAGGGGGGGTCACTACCGGTTCGAACCCCCCTCCCCCCCCCTCGAAAACCGAGTGAGGGTGCGGACAGTGGTGGGGACGGTGTTGGTGGGGACAGTGGTGAGGGGACAGCGGGACAGTGGTGGAGTCAGTGGGACAGTGAGTGGTGGGGACGGTGGTGGTGGGGAAAGTGGTGGGGACAATGGTGGGAACAGGGGGGGCAGTGGACAGTGGTGGGGACGGTGGTGGTGGGGACAGTGGTGTTGAGGATAGTGGGAATGAGGTGGAAACAGTGGGACAGTGGAGGGTACAATGGTGGTGGGGACAGTGGTGAAGGCGGTGGCGAGGACGGCGGTGGGACAATGGGACAGAGGTACAGTGGGGACAGTCGTGGGGACAGTGGGGACAGTGGTGGGAACAGTGGGACAGCTCAGTGGGACAGCGGAGGAGTCAGTGGGACAGTGGGGACAGTGGGGATAGTCGGGCAGTGGTTGGGGCCGTGGAGACAGTGGGGAGAGTGGAACCGTGGTGGGAACAGTGGTGGGGACAGTGGGGACAGTGCGACAGTGGTGGGGGCACTGGTGGGGACAGTAGGGACGGTGGCAGAACCAGTGGGGACAGTGGTGGTGAGGACAGTGGTGCTGGGAACAACAGTGGAGGATGTGATGCGGACGGTGGTAGGGTGGTAGGGACCGGGAGTCGTTTGCTGGCGGTGCGTGTGCGGGGGGGGGGTCGAACCGGTAGTGGCCCCCCTCCGGTTGGTTTTCGAGGGGGGGGTTCCAACCCGTGACCGTGACCCCCCCCGGTTTTCCAGATCCGGAGGGGGGGGGGGGAGGGGTTCGAACCGGTAGTGACCCCCCCGGTTTTCGAGGGGGGAGGGGGGGGGGGGTTAGGGGAGGGGGGGTTTTGCCGGGGGGGGGAGGGGTCGGGGGGGTCCAGCATGCAGGGGGGGGGGGATTTTCGGAGGGGAGGGGGGGGGGGGGCGACCCCCGGGCTCCGGAGGAAAAGGTTTGCAATTTTCCACCGTAAAGCGGCGGTGGATCACGTTCTCTTTCATTTCTGAAGAGTGATTATTGTTGATCCCCCCCACCGGTGCATACTGTTTTTTCTCAGTCAAAGTATGCCCTTCGACGCTCGCACCTTGTTTTTTGACAGGGGAAGGCTTCCTGCTCAAACTGGCCCCCTGGCCCCCGGGTTACAACAACAGCGGCTCCCGCCTGAGATTTCTGTACAATTTAGGCAGGACCCCCGCTCCCGCCCGAGACTTCCTCGCATTTTATTCAGGAATCGCGCTCTCGCTTGGGACGTCCTTACAACTTATTCAGGAATCACTCTCCCGGAGCTCTGGAGTCGCGCTCTCGCTGGAGACTTGTTTGCAACTTACTGAAGAATAGCCTTGCGTTGGAACTTCTTGCAATTTGCCCAAGCGCCGCGCTCCCGACACCCAGGCACCCAGGAGTCGCGCCCGTTGTGGCCCCGTGTGCATACCCTTCGTGGCCCTGCTGTCGCCATCCATGTCCCCGTCATTGTCCTACGTGGCCCAGTTGCTACCCTTAGTGGCCCCATCGTTGCCTTCTGTGGCCCCGCATTATCTGCACTTCGTGGCCCCCGCTCGTTCGCACTCTTCGTGGCCCCGTACGCATTCCCTTCGTGTCCCCGCTGTCGCCCTTCGTGGCCTACTTCGTGCCCTTCGTGGCCCTACTGTCGTTCTCTCTCGCTCTCGCTTTCGCTCGTCGTCGCCGTCGTCGCCGTCGTCTTCGACGAATTCGTCGTCGTCGTCGTCGTCGTGGTCGGTCCCCTGTCCGTCCCTCTTGGGGTTGGGTCGACGGTCCACGGCCGCCCCGCCGATCAGCGCTGCCGTTGGCCAAGCCGACGGTCCGCGGCCGCCCCGCCGCTTGCCGGGGCCTGGCCTGCAGGGGAAAAAAGTATACCCCCCAAAAGGGGTTCGATCGAACACGAAGAGGGCGGGTATCGAGGGTTTGGGAAATACGCGTTATTGGACACTCGAACATATAAGGGCGAACAGTCTTAACATGATTGTTGTTGTTGTTGTTGTTGTTGATGTTGTTGTTGTTGTTGTTGTTGTTGATGTTGTTGTTGTTGTTGTTGTTGAATTTTCTTTTCGGAAGAATAATTATTGCTGATCCCCACTCACTGATGCATATTGTTTTTCTCCATCAAAGTGTGCCCCTCGACGCTCTCTCATTTTGTTTTTTACAGGGAAGCTCTTCCTGGTCAAACTGTGTCCCTGGCCCCCCGGACTACAACAACAACGGCTCCCGCCTGAGACTTCCTCCACATGTTCTCAGGACCACCCCCTCCCGTCTGAGACTTCCTTCCAATTTACTCAGGAACGGCGCTCCCGCTTGAGACTTCCTCACATTTCAATCCGAGTCAAACTGCGTTTTGCTCCCCCGGAGTACAACAACAACGGCTCCCGCCCGAGACTTCATCTAACTTTACTCCGGACCTCCGCTCCCGCCTGAGACTTCCTTCCCATTTACTCAGGATCGGCGCTCCCGCCTGTGACTTCCTCGCAATTCAGTCAGGACCCCTCCCGTCTGAGGCTTCTTCAAAATTTTCTCAAGAACGTCGTTCCCGCTTAAGATTTCATTGCGCTTTGGTCTAGACCCCCGCTCCCTCCAGACATCCCCTTTTCAGGAATTGCGCTTTCGTCTGTGTTTTTTTTGTTCCGCAGCTTATTCAGACGTCGCGCCATCTACGCTCAGGCACCACGCTCGCGCCAAGGACGCCGTCACACTCTACTTAGGAATCGCGGTTTCTCCCTACTCAGGCATCCCGCTTGAATGTCCCACCCGCCCGACCCGCCCGTCAGAGGATCGCCCGCCCGTCGTGGGCTGCCGCCCGAGACCTCCTTGTGGAATGGCGCTTTCCTTCTAACGTTCGCACTCTTACCTTTCTGCTCCTCCCTCCTCCCGAGCCGCCTCCCCCCTTTTTCCGATTCCCTCTCCCTCGCCTCCAACACCTCGCCGAGCAACACCAGAGGTGTTACATGGCGCTGTTTATGGCGCGACCCGTGGCGAAGCCTTTGTTAACCTGTGTGGGATGGCTGGCGCAAGCCATGGCGCAAGCTGAATCGCAACTCACGGCACAAATCGTCGTCGTCCCTCTCTCTTGCCCCTCTAATTCCTCCCTTCCTCCGATCCCTTCGTCCTCTCTTTTTGTCTTTTCCCTTCCGTTTCCCTGTTTAGGGGCTTCTCCAAGTACACGTGGCCAGGATGGAATATAACCCCCCGAAAGGGGGTACGATCGAAGACGAAGAGGGCGGGTATCCAGGGTTGGGGATATGCATAGAAATGACACGCGGGCCGGTAGGGGCGAACAGTCTTGTAATGATTATTGTTGTTGTTGTTGTTTTTGTTGTTTATTGTCGTGATCCCACCCGCGACCCACCCCGCGACCCACCCCGCGACCCACCCGCGACCCAATCCGCGACCCACCCGCGACCCACCCCGCGACCCACCCGCGACCCACTCGCGACCCACCCGCGACCCACCCCGCGACCCACCCGCGACCCACCCCGCGACCCATCCGCGACCCATCCCCACCCGCGACCCACCCCGCGACCCACCCGCGACCCAACCCGCGACCCACCCTCAAGGGAGGATAAAACACCCGGACCCGACAATCGACGTTTACTAAACGGCCCTGGGCGTTTACTAAGCAGCTCTGCCCTGTTCGATTCACCCCTTTGTGTGCGTTTACTGAACGGCTTCTCTTATCGGGGTGATGACAGCGGGGTGGGTTTTCTGCTTTCTACATCCGCGACCCACCCGCGATCCACCCGCGACCTACCCACATTGGTTCACGAAAAAATTGGCGCCTGCGGCGGGCCCGTTGCATCATTTGTAAAACTTTGGCGCCTGCGGCGGGCTTCTCCAGAGTCTCGCAAACTGCCGACGTCCCCACCGCCCCCTTGGGGGTCTGGGGGGCCCGGGGCCAGGACCTAGACGCGCCCCGCGCATTTCGGGAGCCCTAAATCGACGCCGAGGGTGATCAGACAGCCTTCAAGACGATCCATGACGGCCTAGAGTCGTCCCACAACGGCTTCGAGACGTTTCGATCGGCTCACTCGGCCCCTCCAACGGCCCAAAGTGTTTCCAAGACGGCCCGAGAGAATTCCAGGAGGCCCTCCAAGATGGTTTCGGGGGGCCAAGATCATAAATGTCCCTTAGTTTTTGAAGGTATGTAGGGCTCTGCCCTTTTTCGGGTTGCCGACGGCCGAAGACGGCCAAAGAGGGGCCACACGTCGCCCAGAGACGGCCCAAGAGGCCCTCAAGAAAGCCCCAAGAAGGCCAAGAGAGCCCCAAGATAGCCCAAGAGAGCCCCAGGCCGGCCCAAGAAAGCCCCACGACGGCTCGAGAGAGCCCCCAGAGAGCCTCAAGAGCGCCTCAAGAGGTCCCCAAGAGATGTCCAAAGCACCCCAAGACGGCCCAGAAGGGCCCCAGGACGGCCCAAGAGGGCCTTCTAGGATGCACATCCTCTGCATACTCCTATACAGCGCAGCGCTTTGCCCTCCTCCTTCTCCTCCTCCTCCTCCTCCACCTTCTCCTCCTCCTCCTCCTCATCATCACCATCACCATCACCATCACCATCACCATCACCATCACCATCACCATCATCATCATCATCATCATCATCATCATCATCATCATCATCATCATCATCATCAGCATCATCATCATCATCATCATCATCGTCATCGTCATCGGCATCATCATCATCATCATCATTATCATCATCATCATCATCATCATCATTATCATCATCATTATCATCATCATCATCAGTTTCAGCATCATCATCAGCATCATCATCACCTGCTTGCTGGCGTTCCCTGGCGTGGCTCATGCGCGGTCCCGTGCAGGCCCGCAATCTCAGGAGAAGTTGAGGGTCTTCGCTGGGTGGGCGCAGCAGCAGATCGAAGAGTCTTGCCGCGAGGCCGGCCCGCTTCGGGCGGCTCTCCGCCCGCGCTCGAGGGCCTCCGCCTGCGCGCGCTGCACGTACACATCAGTCGTTGAAATTTGGTATGTCTGGATTCCCAGATCCCAATCTACTTCAAGCGCCTTCATACTTCGAGAAGCGATATACTTTTGCTGTATTTCGCCATTCTCTGGTAGGGTCTGAACCCAATCTATTTAATCTGCCTTCCCACTTCATGTTTTTACCTGCTTCTCTAACCGACGTGTACTGGTGCGTGCGCGCGGACCTTCCTGGGCTCCCCCCCAGCGGATCTGTTCGACTCTACTTCGATTCGACTCTTAGCTCGGCTCAAGTTCTACCCAAGTCGGAGGACGTTCGTCGCAGCAACGACGCATGAGTGGAGCAAGTGTCTCCAGGAAGTTCCCCAGAACGAACATCTAATGTGTACCGTAGGCTCCTGCCACGTCCGTGCGGCGTCAACGTAGGTGCGGACGACAAGTTTGAGGGCCCCAGGCGACGACTGTTCAGTGTTGAACGGTATGCGCGGTGATGGAAACAGGATGTCGGAGGAAGCGCCATTCGACGCAGACTTCTGAGGCTGCCACTGGCCCCGCGCTCATCACAACTCATTCGATAAAAGCGGGACCTATCTATCCAATTGCGTTACGAGTCATCTTCGAACCGGGTTGTTTGATTATCAACGCATCTTTGACCATAGATGCGGAATCACTACGTTATCGGTAGCCAGCAAAGACCTTAGGATCCGTACCGAAAGTGCATTGCTAGGTCATATTATTGCGAGGGCCTCACGGCCGGTGCCACCGACCTTGAAGGAGGACGACGACGACGGCGACAGCTGGGGGTTGTTTTGAGAGAGTGCCCTTGGTTTTCGCTTGGGCCTCATGGGGGCGTCTTGGGGGCCTTCTGGGGCGCCTCTTGGGGCCTCCTGGGGGCCTTTGGGGGCGGAAGGCTCGAAATGTCGGTTGGTGTTCACCCTCTCGGGAGCCTCTTGGGGCCCTCTTGAGACCCTATTCAGCCGTCTTGGGGATTTATTATTCGGCAGTCTTGGGTCTTGGGCTATTATCAGGCGCTTTCGGCCGCCTTTGGATCGTCTTGGGGCGATTTTGGTGGCTCCCTGGGCCGTCTTGGAGCGTCGGACGCCCGAGAAGGCTAGGTCACGAAAAGCAAAGAAAAACATTACTTGGTGCTCTTCTTCTTGGAGCCCTCTTGGGGCGTGTTGGGGGCCTCTGAGGCCGTCTTGAGGGTACCGTGGGCCGTAAGGAGCTTGGGCTGCGTAAGGCCCTGTTGGAGCAAGCCGCGGTTCAAGGGAGCTCGAGGCGCTTGGCAAGCAAGGTATCGAGGGGAAAAGCTTCTCCCAGGGAGGGGTGCTCCCCCCGGGGGGTGGGGGGTCACAAGCCCCGGGATCCCCATCCACTCCCCCGGCACCCCCGTCCCGGGACCCCCCCCTGGACCCCCCCAAGGGACCTTTCCCCGGGACCCCCAGCGGGTGAGGGATCAAAGGGGAGGGGCTTCCTTTCGACTCGATTACGACGTTGCTCGAATCCCCTCTGGCTGGAACGTTTGAGGAGGAGGGCCAAGGAACAGGGAGGGAGCGGCGACGTCGACGACGACGACGACGACGATGACGACGACGACGGCTCAAACGGAACAGCCCCTCA